TACATTTTAATCCCTGTATAGATACATATCAAATAAAAGGTGGATTTAACAAAGTTGTTAAAATACAAGTTAGATACCTGTTCAGATACACATTAAGTCAAATAAATACACATTAAGTATTGTTCAAGTATACGTTAAGTAACAAAATTTTCCCAAGGGAAACTTTTTAAGCAATGCTTTCACTGTAAATTAATTAATGGCTCTCAATCCCTGTCTTCTAAAATTTTCTTATTTTCACTTTGGCGCAGATTCTTAGAGACTCAGTAACAGTGCCATCCAGGTATCTCAGTCTAACCCTGCCCCCAGGGTCTTGTTAGGGCTTGCAGAACATATAGATCCAGAAATACACTAAAAAACTGCCCAGGAGTCAAAGGGTTAAACTAATACCACATGATATATATATGATCATGATTATTTCTTGATTTGAAGGCAATAAAAAATTCCAAAACTATTTAAAACATTTTCGTTACTCAACTCTAAAATGGTTAAAACAATAACATCATCCTTACTTTTCTTGGTTGGGGAATGTCCAGACATTTTGGTTGTTGGTCCACGAGGATACCCAGTTGTCAAAGTTGTATCTGAATGCACAAAAGTATGAAAAGTTTGATATATATTTAAGGCTACAACTAATGATAATTATTAGTTTGGGTTTTATTTAAAGTTCACTGCAATTGTACATAAAACACTGACAATGTCATTCCAAACTCCAAATATGGTTTTGTTAGGGCTTGCAGAATGTTTAGATCCAGAAACACACTAAAGTACCTCATTTAAAAATAATTGATGCCACATGATCATGCATATATATATATGCTGATTACTGTATTTCTGGTGGCAATGAAAAATCTGCAAACTATAAATTATTCCATTCCTCAACTCTAAAATGGTTAATCAAATAACAGTATATATGTCCTTACTTTTCTTGGTTGGGGAATGTCCAGATGTTTTGGTTGGTGGTCCACAAAGATACCCAGTTGTCAAATTCGTATCTTAATGCACAAAAGTATGAAAACTTTGATATATGTTTTGAGGCTGCAATAATAATTTTGGGTTTTATTTCTATCAAAAGTTCACTGAAACTGTACAATTTCTGTGCTGATCTTGTGTGTTGGGTTTTGCAGAGGGAAAACAATGGGAAATGGTTGTGTGAAATGGTTTTATGGGATAGTTTTGTGAAACAGCAGATCACTATCTTTAAGGTGACTGGCTACTTTTGAAGAGATCAGAAAAAAATTATAATCCATAAGATAATAGTTCTTTGCAGACTCTATGATTGTACATGAATGCCATTTGATGAATCATTCTACAATAATATGTGAATATTTTTGACAAAAAGACAAAGAAATAATACATTGATTTGTCAAATGTTCTCCTTTTAGTGCTCTCAAAAACTCTCATTATAAAGTTGAACAAGAATCCCTACAAAAATCAAATTTTTCATGCTTTAGATAAATTAAATCATAAATTTTTTTGATATAGCCTAGATTTTTAGAAGTTTTCTCGAATAAGCTTATAAAAAGTATAGAGTGCCATGTGAATTTTGAGGGTTTTGCACTCTTGAAGTTCTAAACATTGTATATGCATGGTTCTTCAATAAAATCATGAAGATTATTCAACAGTTTTTGAGCACACAGTCACACATTTTGGGCTCAAATCAAATGTTCAAAAGTAGGCAGTCACCTTAAGCTCAATTTAATTAAGTCATGTAGGTTTAGCTTATTTTATTAGGAAAATTATATGAGATTTCATATCTTGATAATATTGTTTTGAAAGTGATATTGGCAAGTTGTTTTAAAAGAACTTTGTCAATCGATCCTAGCCCATTTCACTAAGTTATAATTGCACATATATGCTCCAGGGGCGTATCCAGGATTTTGGCTAGCTAGGGGGGTCGAACTTTAATACCAATATTTTTGATGGGAGACCAGGGAAAAGTATAAATTTGTGATGGGTTACCTATGGAAAATTTTGGTTCCAGCTTCTTTGGCCTAGACCATGAAGATGGTTGATTTTACCATTATAAGCTTTTAAATCTAAATCTAAATAACCCCTCACATCTCCCTGTCTAAATGTTAACACATTTTACATTACCTTCGACTGCTAGGTAATAGCTTGTTAGGTTTCTGTGACATTTTGCCACAGGGTCACCTTGAAACTTCACTAGGGCCAAGAAAGTCCATTTACCAGCAAATGCACCAGTCACATTGATGTGGAACCATAACTTTCCATTGGAAAGATTTCCAACAAAAGCGAATTGGTCAAGGGCAGGTTTAAGTTCATCTTTCCCCAGAAGCTTCAATACTGTATCAGAAAGTGCAAAAAAAGGTTGGAAGCCCGGTGGACACACTCCATTTTCATAGTTTTCTCGATCTTTTAACTGCACACACATACGCAGCATGTCAACTGGCTGAGTCACACCCCACTTTAGTGAAGCCACTCCTCCTGAGTCTACACAAACTTTTTTACTAGCCTCCTGTACTAGACCACACACTTCCGTGCCTGCTGCTACACATACTGAAAAACAAATGGTAAAAAAAACGTCATTTTTCCTATTTTAAAAAAAAGACAATGACAGCAACAAAAATACAGCCCAGCATAAAAGAATCTTTGGACAAAATAACCATGGCCACATGACCTGCCCGGGGGGGGGGGGGGGGTACTCCCCTCTCCCCTATATTTGCTATACGGGTATGTGCCACCCTATAGGGTATGGCTTTTCGGCTTTTGGGTCTGGGGTAGGATATCATTTTTTGACAATTTGTCTGGGATAGGGTATCATTTTAGTCTGGCATAGGGTTAACGATTTGGTCGTTTTTGTCTGGCGAATAGGCTACGCTTTCTGCAGACCAAAAACAATAAAAATGTTAGTAAACATTGATTGCAATCGAAACCCCCACCAGTAAAAAAAATCCTTAAAACGGGCTAAATTCAAAAAATAACCACACAGAGCGAAAGAAGTGCTATTTCTCAATGATCAGGTAAAATTTCGAGGCTTTATTTCACGTTTCAATGATTTTATTGAAATTTTTGATGAATCCCCATACATTTTCTTATAACATGACACCACAGAAACCAAGCTTGGGCTACCTGTGCATCAACCGGCTTCCTAATACTCGTGCGAACGCAATTTTTTTATCTTACCAAAATTTGTCTCGCTTTACCAAACTTAACTTTCATCTTCACCGAAAAAAGATTTACGATGCATTTTGTGTTTGAAAGCTCAGAGAAGGATTGCCCTAAACTCAGAAAAACGTGATCGTAAGCAGTCGACCAATTTTTTGTATAATTTAGGGTAATGTCATATAAGTCATAATGTAATCCAAGGTTTACTTTGAAGTTTTGATTTCTTTTTTGAACCTTTTTTTAAGGAAATATGTTTATCTATTATCAGAAAAATTCAAGGGAAGATATGATTCGAGAAGATTTTCCAAAGAAGTATACCCTGGGTGCCAGCTAGGCCGTGAAAAATCAAAACAAAACAAAAAAAAAAGAAGTACATTGGAGCAAAAATGTTCCGAGTTCCCCATAAGCATAATATTTCAATTCAAAACAAAAAAAAATCCCCAGAAAAGAAATAAATATTTTAAAAAATACGAGGTACCTGCAAAAATCAAAGGTAGAAGTAGAAAGCCTACGTATTTGCTGACGGAGTGTAACATAGTTGCTTTAGACAGTCGTTGCTTTATAGGTTCAAGTACTAAAACGTTCACGTGCAGCGATAAAATTCATAACATGCTACTATATTTTAATATTAAAATGTCGTACACCAAGAGTGTGACGTATCATGTAAGAATGTCCAATCACGATCACGAACGGCCTCGGAGTATCGTGACGCAAAAGCTAAATATGGTTTTCTTTCGTCTCGCGATCGAGTATTTTTTTAGGTAGTCTTTAAAAAAAATAATAATAAAGTCTATCTGTCAACCAGCGGGGACTGGACACAGAAATTGACCAATCAGGAGCCTTGTTTTCGAGACAGGGAAAGACAGGGAAAGACAAAGATGGCGGACAAAAAAACAAGGTCAGTGCAAAATTCACTTGATTTTATGCTATTTATTGATATGTTTTTTTGTTATTAAAGTTTATTAGAAATTAAGTTTATACTAAAAAGTATGTCCTGTAGAAATTTGGTAACAAAATCGTACTTCTTAGTATTGTTTAAAGACATGTTATTCTGACTACATGATCGTTTCGATCACAACCTTTTTTTTTACCAAAATAAGTACGGTTACTTCTTTCGTTGTTTTCACTTAAGATATTAAAAGTCTTTAGTCCAGATTTGAGATAAGAATACCTAATGAAATTTCCTCTTAAGTTATTTTGGGGCGATCCCCTGTGGTTTTTTGATACCGTGCACGTATTAATTCGTGCATTTTTAGGGAAATAATAAAGAAATCGAGATACTTTCAATAGAAGATCGACACGTAACATATGGCAAGTTCCTCAACTTCCAGTGTTAGAAATTCGCTTTCTGAAAGTGGATTTTATGTCGGACGGTCAGGTTTGCAAAGGACTCATTAAAGAGAGGGATAGAGCAAGGCTCTCCGAGTTACCAGCAAAATTGATTTGTAGTTCAATGTGTTTATCAAACGATTACTTAAAACTTTACTGCAAATTTTCGTATCCACATTTATAAGACTAATTGGATGCCATGCATCCATAAATCTATTATCTTTCCCTGGTTTTTCAAGTAATGTTATAATTGTTTGTTTCTGCGTAGTAGACAGAGAGCCAACTTTAAACTTTTGGTTAAAACACATTATTATGTCTTCTTTAATTTCGTCCCATAAAAACATATAAAACTCTTTTGTGAGACCGTCATTGCCTGGTGTTTTAGAAGGTCCCATTTGCTTTAAAGCATTGTAACATTCTTCTATTGTGATTTCTTTTTCACACGAATCTCTATCCTCATCCGATAAAGTTGGGATTGTGTATTTCGATAAAATTCGCGACATTGGCTTCCTGTTTTGTTCGACTTAGAAAGAAATAAAGTACTATAGTAATCTTTAATTGTTTTCATGATCTTTTCAGAATTTGTAATTTCTTTATTATTTTCTTTATCTATTATTTTTTTAATATGAGTTTTGGACTTATTACGTTTTTCTAAAGTTAGAAAATATTTTGTATTCTTTTCGCCTGCCTCGTACCATTTTGCTTTTGATCAAATAATTATACCTTCTGTAATGTAATTACACTTTTCTTCTAATTTTTCTTTTAAAATTTTATGCTCTTTAATCAATTCTTCATCATTTTCCCATCCATTTTGTTTTTCTATYTCTTTAATTTTCTCCTCGATTTGAACGTAATCTGATTTGCGACGTTTAGCTATTTGTTTTGAAAAAGTCATTGAAAATTTGTGTATCTCGTATTTTATAAGTTCCCATCTTAATTGTGGGTCTGTTATATTTTCCTTTTCAAGATTCTCCTTGGTGCATGTTACTTAAATAGGAATTGATCTGGGTACCAAAATCTTTGTTGTCAATTATTGAATTATTGAATTTCCAAAAAGACGAACCTCTGAGGTCTGTATTAAAGGCTTTAAAGTTAATTGTAATAGCTGAGCAAGAGCACTAGGACACCGAATGTGGTTGGATTTCTATAGGTTTTTTTTTTTCCTTTCGATTATTTGAATTAAATTAACGTTATACTTGTTTACTTATCGTTCCGTAGTTCCGAATCATCTTGATCCCCTAAATAATTCATTCCTTTTTCCAGATCAACGGTTTTCTCTTGTAGTTTCTTTATCGACTGTTCAACACTGGTTGTTCTCGATTGTACATYGATCAGGCCTTTTGACAATTGTGTTGATGAGGACTCTAGCTCAGTCATCTTCTTATTGATGCTCTTGGTGTTGTTCTTTGCCGTTTCTTTAATGGTTTTGATGGTTTTCCRAGTTTCTTTTGTGAAATCTTCCAGTTTTGTGGTTCTCTCTTCGATATTTGAGATTGTTTTTTCCATCTTAGTTATAGATTCCTGGATAGAATCCAGCTTGCTGAGCTTTTCGATAATCATATCAAGTTTCTCTGTGCAAATCAGCTCCACCATATTGAGAGCAGTCAAAACTTCGTCTTCCTCTGCTATACCTTTGTCGAGTAAACATTTAATCTYTTTCTGATCTGGAGATATGTTTTCTTCTGTTGATGAATTTTGAAGATCTTTCACGTCTTTTCCCTGTATTCTGAGCAATAAGATTGGCCATTTTCGTGCAAAAATTTTCAAAATTTTGTGGACCGGTAAAATTCGTGTGACCTATTCTGCCATTACGCTCTCCCCAGTTCAACAAAACTAACAAGATCTATTCACCCATTACTAAGGGAAAATAAGATAGTGAAAGTCGAAGTAGGAAATATAAATTTTAGAGTAGCTTGGTTAAGAGCTGGTTACTGTTTAAAATTATTGATTACGAGAATTGGTCAATGGGAACCTTATGTGATTAGAGCAAGTTGAGGTGTACGCTAATTACTACACTTGTTGCAAATCAATTATAATTAAATCAAAGTTGTCAGTGTGCACATGTCATTCCTTTGATTGCTCTATTCACTTAAGACTTCGATTGACTAAATCCTTACAGAGACCCTACAAGTGTAGTGTATAGTTTCTTACTGTATGTTTAGATCTATAATAATGGTTGAACATAGTAGATTTATGTGCATAGCAGTACTTATCTATTATTTATATTTGTATTGTTCATTGATACAATATATTTTCATTTTGTAATCAATGAAATGTTTTATCAAAAAAGAAAGAAAAATAATTGTTTAAGTACCTGAAATACATTATCCTTGATGAAGTGGGGGAGGGGGAAGTCTTTCAGCGGCCGAATGGAATTCTGCTCTAACTGTCACCTTTCCCTTCTGAGGCAGCCTTGCCCTTCCACACACAAAAACTCCAGGATCTGATCTTCTTGATATTTTGACTTTGTCCAATCTTTCCTCTCCGGACTCAGATGGAGTTTTAAAGGATTTCAGTTTGCCACAGGTAAAGCGATTGTTGGCTCCTGTCCAATAATGAAATGGTAGAACAGGGTCTACTCTCTTCGTGAATTCCTTGGTAATCTTTCCATAATTTTGGAGAAAGGTTTTATGATCAAAAACCCTTCCAACCATTTGATGGAGGGTTGCAATAAAACCTTCCACATCATCTGTTGTTGATGCTCTTGGATGTTCTGGAGGGAGATCTTTACTTTATGCAATCCTTTCTCCGCTTCCCCTGGCTTTCAATGTTAGCAACAAGAGCTACAATTATTTCTCTTGTAAATCCTCTGATCCCTTTCAGTGGCCTTTAATAACAATATAATAGGTATCAATTGTTATTATTTGTTTAATAGAATGTGACAAATATGTTAAAACTGAGGATTTTAACACAATATTTGATATTACCTATTTACATCAATTGTTGAATAGTCACAATGATACCAATACCAAGGAACCCAGTCCTGTAAAATGTAGTGCAGCATTGTCATGTTGTAATTTTGTCTTTGAAGCTCTGTAAGGCCATGACCATCAGTGGCTTTATGCCAATTGCTCACAATGGATACAAATTGTTCTTCRTCTCTGTGACCATGTCTTTTCATGTACCTGTAAATTTAAAGTATTTTTATTTTATTGGTATGGTGTAATAAATTTAAATGATAACGCCAGCTGATAAACAATATTGGTAAGTGGCAACAAGGCTCCTGCATAAGAAAATATTAAAAAACACAAAAGTTAAAATAGGAACAGTATTATATTATTATTAACCTGGCCATCGCAGGTGAGAATAGTCTTTCACAATCTGGCACACTTTGTTTATGTTGACCAGTTAGTGCTGTATTTGCATTGTTGCTTGACTCACAAAAATATTATTTTGAACAACTCTAACTTTTATAATATATAAGTAATACATGAATTTTCTATATGAATTATACATGAAATAACCTGTATTTCTGTTCCGTTAGGTATTCCACTGTGTTCAATATGACGGCGAACACTTCTGGCACTTGGAGCAGCAACATTTACCATATTGCCTGTAATTATATTAATGGATGTTATTGTATACACTTGTCATTAATTTGAAAGAGATGGAAAAATGGCAAAATGACAAAAGACATTTGCAAAGCTGAAAAGAGATTATGATGTGAATTCTATACTGTGTTGATTCACCAAACAGCTACAACTAACAAACTTTAATTAATATTTGTCTTTGTTGTTTCTTTAAAGAAACATTTGCTTTTAGTCTTGATTGAACTCTTTTCTTGTAATTAACTATTTGATTTGATTTTAAATATTAGATCAGTATATATATTAGAGAGTGTTTTTTTAATTAACCAATGAAATACATACCAGCCTAATACGAATCAGCAGACCCTAATTCCATTGTGTTCAATTGTTGTCATTTCACTACTATTACACTATCACTCTAAAATACTCTTATAGGCTAATATTCTATGTAACTTACTGTCATAGGGTTTTTCTTTTTTGGTGTTTTCTTGGGAGGAACTGGACATATGTCAAATTGTTTTGCTACATCCAAAACTGAAAAGTCATTTTCTTGTACCTATATATAGTGATTAGTAATAGTAATAATGACAAAAAAAGATATTAACAACTTTTATTAAAATGAATTTTGCAAAGCCTCGTTGAGTTTACAAGCCATGGGAAAAATTCAGAAGTGGAAATAA